GAGTGATTCAGCCACGAGTGGGCTAGAGCATTATCTTCGTTCCTATCTTTATGTTATTGACTTCAACTGGAATTCATTTTATTTACCGACGATCAGGCTCTCGATTCCGACTGACAGTATCTAGCTTATAAGTTGCTTCCTCATCCCGCTTCTGCCGTTATTGCCATAAGTTCTGTTCTTGTGAGATAGCTTCTGTCGTGCCTGTCCCCCTAGTGCTTACACATCAGTTTGGCGCATAAGCTGCCGGTCATCCTCATCCAGTGACCGCGTCCAAATGCGGAAATACTTGTGTTCAATCTTTTTTCTTCCCAATGACCGTAAGCGAATGGGGGGGGGGGTNTCCTGCCACTCTTTCTCTCTCTGTTTATCTGCTTATAAACTTTTCAAACTCATAATCAATAGGCTTGTCCTCTCCTTGTTTACAAAATTCTTGCGTCGGTTTTAACCCGTTTTACAGCATTTCTCATCCGTGTGGTAAAAACAACGGATACGAAACGACCCAAAGCACAGAAGTCGTCCAGAGACACAAAAACCCTGTGAATCAGAAGCCTCGTATCGAACTCGCGCATCCCAAATGGTTACGGATGTACTACAGACGCTATTGCTAGTCTAATCGAGACCAGCGTTTGGTTGTTTCGCATAACGTGAAATTTTTCTTCATTGTTGTTCCTATGCACAACTTCATATAATCAATTTGTAATCTGAAGGAAAACATTGTTTAGCGAAAAAGCTTATTCTCGGTTTTTCACCAACTGGATAATAGACCAAATTTCATACTGCATCGTTTTGTACAGACACACTGAACGACAAACGAAGATTTTCTGTTATCTGTCCAAGTTCCACAAACCCGGTGTTAGATTGAGGTGAGACGAGGGGGTGCGTTGTGAAGTAGGTGGAGGTACATGTGCGGCTGAGTGATTTCACTGTGTTTTGTGACAAACAAGGGGGCAGGCAGCTACCCCGAACATGGTAGCGAGGATAAAATGCCGCGTTCACATTCACTGTATGAGTAGGTTCGGTAAGGCGTGAAGCAATGTCACTTTTCATGGTAATGCCTTTATAGTGTGAAACCGAAAATGCGTAACGTCGAGCAGTTCAAGTTGTGTGACACCTGGCACAACGATACAAGACGCTGAGAAAGAAAACCAATAGCACGCACATGTAACGTTACCAATTTTTATTATAACCATTTCATATCCTTATAGTGTTGCTGCGTATTAACTCAGCGTCTTGCATCAGAGCCAAATGTCACAACTTGTACAGCTCGATGTAATTCAGTCTCGGTTTCAGACTACAGCCTCAGTGGCGTTAACAAACTCTTATGAACAGGATCCTGCTCGTGCAGCCTACGTACGTTGATCCACGTAAAGAGGCACACACAAAAGTAGGAGCACAGACTTCGTTTTCGAGTTGCACACACCGGATTTATCTTGCTATGAGTAAACGTGGTTTCCAGCATGAAATGTCTTTTGTATTGCGGCTCTGTTTACAGTTAAGGTATTTTTACTGAATGAGAAAGAGATACATTGATTCCGTTTCTAGATCTAAAACTTTCTCCCTTGATCGACAGTGTCGTAAAATGCTGTCCCTTTTGACTCGTTTTGTGATCATTCGTTAAGAACGCTGTGAGATATTGAATTCATGAGCAGTCTTCTCGGTGGTCGTTTAGGGACTCACATCACCGTTCATGGTCGAACCATCCGACATGGTACAGTACTGAACTAATGTGATGGAAGGTGGTACAAAGAGGGCCCCGGCTAGCGAACGAATCAAGAACGGGACTCATCCAACCAGACGCGCCGACGCAGCGGCTGGAAGTACTTCGAGAGACAATGTTAACTACCATCCGAAACAAACGAATCGACAATTACAGCCCGACAGACGATCCGCAGCTAGCCAGAAAGATATACACCGGATGCCACTACGTCGGAGCTGTCGATCAACGTATCTCGTGCTACGATCAGGTCAAACCAGCCGGAACGGCATGCGGAAGAAGAGGCAACGTACGTGCCAAGTGCGGACCAAAATCACCAGGAATTGAGGAAAGAGGCATGAATCATCCTGCTGCGCGGTTCAGAATTGAATGTATATAATTGAACGCGTACACCAGTTGTTTTTGATTTGGATCAGTAAACATATTTCCAGCCAGCTCGCCTACCCGCTAATCTAACACTAAAGGGAATCACAGTGGGTATGCTGTTACCTAATGTCAGTACCTGCACATCACGAGTTTTGTAGCTTCTTCTACGTGAATCCCCAAAACTCATAAGGTCGATTGGGTCCCTTCATAGATCGATCGGATGGATTAGTTAGCACGAGCAAAAACGGATACCTTGCTGATCACCTTGAGTTTTGAGCACGCTTAGTATGCTACAATTGTGCTCAACAAGAGTGTTATCACCGCACGACTGAAAAGGGGTTAACAACAAGAGTACCACAGACACTACGAACTGGTTAACAGACTGCATTGTGTCACTCTGATGTCTAACAAGTTGCACCGATCACGAGAAATCATATAATCAGGTCGCAAACAGATCAGAGGGGAGTTTATTTGCATGAGAACACGAGTGAGAGTGGAACGGATGAGAGATGACAATGTACCGCTTGTCTGTGGGTGGAACTCAAAATGGACTAGACGCGCGCAAGTGGCATCAGTTATCCGATCACATTACTGTTGTACGTGACCATCCTATGGGCTTAATGGACTGGACGAACGCGAACCCCGCCAGGATTGCAGTGATTGAAGCAAAACACAAAGCTCGATATATCTCATCTGTGCTTAGACTAGGGGATGACATGGGACGCAACGAGACACAATGAACCGTAAGATAACCGAGCAACAAACTACTTGCGGAGGGCTGCTGATG